CGCCTTTAAAAAACTCCGTAAAAAATGGGGAATACTCTTATATACACAAAATATATGCAAATAGAATGAGGGGAAAAATTAAGAGAAATAGGGAAAAATTAGAGAATAGGGGAAAAATTAAGAGAATAGGGAAAAATTAAGAGAATAGGAAAAAATAAGGAAAATATGGAGGAAAACACGAATGAGAAATATGCAAATTAAATAAATATGCAAAAAGAAAGAAAAATATAGAAGTAATAAGGGAAACCACCGATAAATGGAACGATGACATAAATAAATGAATATACAAAATAATTATATAATTATATAATTATATCAAACAGCGACGTATATACATAAAAAATAAAACAATGAAATAATCAAATAAATAGAATAATAAGAATAAATAATTAAACAAAAATATGAACAAATAAATAAAACAACTATATAAATAAATAAACAGAACAATTATATCAATAAGAGACGGCTAATGAACAGAGGACTGATAAAATCAATAAAGTTATAAAATACACGAAATAAAATAGACAGATAACAGAACAGTAAACGCAACATTCCTCACCCAAAATAAGTAAACATAATACGGAGACAGAAAACAGATCAATTAGAAAAAAATAAATAAAAGGAAATACCAAAAAGCAAACAACTAATTAGTTGTAATCAATACCCAATTAAACGAAAAAAACAAATAAATAAAAACCACTAAAAAGATCATAAATAACCCTAAAACGATCAGAAAACTATATAAGACGACAAACAACAAACAAACGAAACGGACAAACAACTCGAAGACAAAGACAAATCAAACAAACAAACGAATAAAACAGACAAGCAACGCAAGGAAAAAGAAAGAAAATCAAACAAAATAATAACAGACAAGCAAGACAAGCAGAGAAATAAAAATCAAACAAAATAATAAAACAGACAAGCAAGACAAGCAAAGAGAAATAAAAATCAAAAAAATAATCAAAAACAACCAAGCAAGCAAAGACAAAGAAAAATCAAACAAAATACCAAATCAAACAATCAATCAAGCCAAGCAAGACAAGAAAAATCAAATAAACTCCGACTTAAAACAAGACAAGCAAGGCAAGCAAAGACAAAGAAAAATCAAACAAAAGCAAGGCAAACAAAGAGAAAGAAAAATCAAACAAATACAAATAAAACAATCAATCCAGCCAAGCAAAGACCAAGAAAAACCAACCAAACCCCGACTTAAAACAAGACAAGCGAGGCAAGCAAAGACCAATAAAAATAAAAAAAACGAATAAAACAGACAAGACGGCAAGCAAGTAAGAAAAAACAATCAAGCAAGCCAGCAAAGACCAAGAAAAATCAAACAAACCCCCGACTTCAAACAAGACAAGCAAGGCAAGCAAAGAGAAAGAAAAATCAAACAGACAAGCCAAGCAAAGAGAAAAGAAAAATCAACAAAATACCCAATAAAACAATCAACCAAGCAAGCAAAGACCAAGAAAAACCAAACAAACTCCGACTTCAAACAAGACAACCAAGCCAAGCAAAGACAAATAAAATAAAAACGAATAAAAAGACAAGCACGGCAAGCAAAGAAAGAAAAATCAAACAACCAAGCAAGCAAAGACCAAGAAAAATCAAACAAACTCCGACTTAAACAAGACAAGCAAGGCAAGCAAAGACAAATAAAAAAAAAAAAACGAATAAACGGCCAGCAAGGCAAGCAAAGAAAGAAAATCAAAACACCAAGCCAAGCAAAGACAAGAAAATCAAACAAACCCGACTTCAACAAGACAAGCAAGGCAAGCAAAGACAAAAAAAAAAATAAAAAAACGAATAAACAGACAAGCACGGCAAGCAAAGAAAGAAATCAAACAAATAAGCCAAGCAAAGAGAAATAAAAATCAAACAAACTCCCGACTTAAAAACAAGACAAGCACGGCAAGCAAAGAAAAAAAAATAAAAAAACGAATAAAACAAGCACGGCAAGCAAAGAAAGAAAAATCAACAAATAAGCCAAGCAAAGACCAAGAAAAATCAAACAAACTCCCGACTTCAAACAAGACAAGCGAGGCAAGCAAAGACAAAGAAAATAAAAAAACGAATAAACAGACAAGCAAGGCAAGCAAAGAAAGAAAAATCAAACAACCAAGCAAGCAAGACAAGAAAATCAAACAAACCCGACTTCAAACAAGACAAGCAAGCCAAGCAAAGAGAAAGAAAAATCAAACAAACCCCGACTTCAAACAAGACAAGCAAGACAAGCGAGGCAAGCAAAGCGCAATTCCTGAAGCACAAGCAAAGCGAACCGCCGACGCCGTAAGTAAGCCCGACGGACGGCGCTCGAGGAGGAAGCCGACACCGTAATAGACAGGCGACGCGGCAGGT